CTGACTTCTTTCAGTGTTGACTTTAAAGGTCACCTTTTCTGAGAGTACTTTCCTGACCACCGTCTCTGTTAATAGTTTTGGTACATTATTGGTATCCTTAATATCACATCACAATTAGAAATTATTACTTTGACTATTTTTAATTACTTTGTTATTTAGTTTTGTAAAAGGGCTCTCTCACTAAAACACAAGCTTCACAAAGTCAGGTCTCATAATTCACCTTTTATGTCCTTGGTGCTTAGCATACCACCTAGCAGACACACAGCAGGTGTTCCATGTGTGTGTTAAATAGGAAAAATGCATCTTGACTACTTTCTAGCATAGTTCATGTAAAACCAAGGAACACACTGGTAGTTTGATTTAATTCAATATAAGGGGAGACTAGATTTCCTTAAATAGTTCTTGCCTCCATTGAGCCCATTTTATATCTTCTCTTTTTTTTATGAAAGTATTTTTAATTTACTTTTTTGAAACTTAAAACATTTCTTATGAGTTTATTTGAGCTAACAATATATTTGATAATATATGCCAAGGAGCAAAATCTCCAATGTTCCCCTTCCCTTTTTACCTGGGGGATTCTCATAGGAAAGAGAAGTTACGGAATTCAAGGAAAGAATATTCAAGGATGGGGTAGGGGGAAGTGCGAATCTTGGAGGTTTCTACACTAAAATGGCGTTGATGTTTTTATTTTAAATTTTATTTTTTAAAAATATGTTTATTGATTCAGAGAGGAAGAGAGCGGGAGAGAGAGATAGTAACATCAATGATGAGAATCATTGATTGGCTGCCTCCTGTACACCTCACACAGGGTATCGAACCTACACTTAAAACTAAGTAGCAGTCAGCATCATTGGGTGACTAAATGGGTCCTCATTCGTTCGTCATCTAGATCAGTGGTTGTCAAGGGAGGCATCTGGCAATGTCTCTGATCACCATCACTGGTGTATATGTGGGCTGCTACTCCCATCTACAGTGTACCAGACAGCCTCGTACCATAAAGAAGTTTCCAGCCCTAAGTGTGGATAGTGCCAAGAGTGAGAAAGCCAGACTAGGTGAAGGCAGCCAAGGTCCTGTTGATATCTATAGATCAGTGATTTTCAACCTTTTTCCATCTCATGGCACACACATAAATCAATTAGTACAATTTTTCAGTACACCAAAAATATATTTTTTGCCTATCTGACAAAATAAAAACAGGTATAATTTGATTCATTCACGCCAGACAGCTATTGTTGTGTTGGCTGTTGTCATTTTTTTTTTTTTGACAATCTAAGGGAAAAGATGTCAGTGCCCCTGACGAAATAGCCAGGTACTGCATGTTTTAAAAAGATTCTGTTGGCACACCAGAGTGACATGGCACACGGGTTCAAAATCAACTGCTGTAGATCATAAAGCAGCTTCTGCATGGACAAGTTTCTCAACATCCGAATCTCCTTTGGTTTCTAGATCCATAACCCGGCTCTGACTTCATCTGGATTATAGTCTTTTGTCTACACCTTGGATACCTACCTCTTCCTCAGTTCACATACCTGGTTACATGGTCTGCAGGCTCTAATCTCAAAACACTGGGGTTTGTACCTGGCTTTCCTGGTTTGGCATTGTTGCTCTCTAGTTGCCCCTGATTTGCTGTGATACTCTGGACAGTTCTTTATCAGAGCCAGTGTGCACCGCCAAGTAGAAGTCATGAGGTCATGTGCCCTTGACCAGAATTGAAGCCAGGACCCTTCAGTCCACAGGCCGAAGCACTATCTACTGATCCAAAGCAGCTAGGACTGGCTTTGATCTCGGAAGTCCTGTCCTGGGACTCTGGGATCTAATCTTATGCTTTCTTTTCGCTTTAGGCCTGGAGGTATGAAATGCAAACATGCTGCTCTGTTTACTTCTTGATCCCACTAGCTTCCTTAGTCCCAATGTGAAGGTATAGAAGTCATCTCCCCATGACAGGAAGTGCTTATTTATTTCTATATTAATGGGTCTTTTCAGTCAGCTGACCTTTCAATTGATGGAGTAGCTAGTACATCCAGTCTCTGGGTGGGCCCCATAAATGATAAGAAACCAAGAATCTACCCTCAGGGCTTTTATAGCCCAGTTCAGGTGTTCTTAATTCATTAGAATCACTTATACAGTCTGATGTAAACCCAGAGCAAATAAACCAGATCTTTACAGATAAAGTCTAAGCATAGGTATTTTTATAAAGCTTCCCACGTGATTCTAATGTGAAAATAGGGTTGAGAATGACTGGTCCCTTATATTATAGCCTTAATGTCCATTCCTGACTATTTGCACATAGGTCTGTACACACACATGCATACACCCCAGTTCCATTTACATATAGTGTACATAACTTTTACTTCATTTTAGCAATGTTTGGTACATTGGTAGAATGTAGTATATTTCAAAAAAAATAAGACTCTACCCATTGAATACTATATAAACTAATAATAATTTTAGATTAATAATATTCATGAAGACAAAATCTACAGTAAATAGTGAGAAGTCAAAAAAGATCAAATAACATATTTATCAAGGATTTTAGATTGTCTCTGTCACTATTCTTTCTTAGAAGTGAAACCTGAAATGTGATAACACTCATAGGTAACATTTACATGCGTTAATTCATTGTTTTGTGACATCGTTTGGTTAATGTCCACTTCTACCTATAAAGATAAACTCCACAGAAAATAAGGAACTTGTCTGCCAAATAAACAATTGTATCTGCCTGGCTGGCACTGCTTAGTGATATGCATCAACCTATGAACCAGGAGGTTACGGTTCAATTCCTGGTCAGGGCACATGCCTGGATTGTGGACTTGATCCCCAGTGTGGACCTTGCAAGAGGCAGCCAATCAATGATCATTGATGTTCCTATCTCTCTCTCCCTTTCACTTCCTCTCTGAAACCCACTACCTTGGTTTATTGGGATGAGACTCTAACCAACTGAGCTATCTGGCCAGGGATAATTTGATGGACTTAAAATACCAAAGGTAAGTTGATACAGCCCAGTTGGTGTGGTTCAGTGGTTGAATGTTGATCTATGAACCAGGAGGTCTTGGTTTTACTCCAGGTCAGGGCACATGCCCGGGTTGTGGGATCAATCTCCAATAGGGGGTAAGCAGCAGACAGACAATCAATTATTCTCTCTCATCATTGATGTTTCTATTTCTCTTTTTCTCTCCCTTCCTCTCTGAAATCAATAAAGAAATATTTTTTTAAAAGTAAACTGAAAGAAAATTAGGATTTTGTTCTTTGTGTTAAAATAAAGTAAAGGTATAGAAAACAAAGGACACAGTAATAGGCCCTAAACTTGCCATGGACCAAGGAGTTACGATAATGAGGGCAACAAGCCCTTTTCCCTGGAATATGGACCATTTAGTAGACTCTACAATGGGATTTTCCACCAGGATAAGTCTTCACATCCCTGGGTAGAGAGGAACTATTTAATCTCTGGTGGGACCCTGTTATTCTAATGCCCTTGGGACCCTTCCATGGAGACATGGACTGGTATATGCACCATCAGAAGAGGAAAGCATGGATCCTCTTCTGGCATATTCCCCCTCCTATCCCCTTACTGACCTCAGAGAGCACAACTTCCTGCTGCACAACATGTGGTTTACACAGCCTGGCTAGGCTGCAAGTGTAATTCTCAAAGAAGGAGAAGATCTCCCAATTCAAGTCCCTACCAAATATTTGTCTTTCTGGCCTTAGAATTCTGCTATTCTTTTGGCGTCCAGTTATGGGGAGTGTGTGTGTGTGTGGGAGGAGTATTCATTATCCAAACTGAACGCTGTGTTTTAATGCCCAATGCATCCACTAATATTTATTTATTTTTGTTAGTACAAGACCGACTAACCCACAAGCTTAGGGTCTGGGGGAGCATGATGAAAAACATTGTTATTAATACTTGGGCTGCTTCTTTTAATTTGTCTCTTTCCTTGTACATGTCTGCACTGTTATTGAGAACTGGGTCTTCAATGCAGTCAATTAGCAATAACTGAGCTACCTCCCTGCCACTGAAGTCCCTGCTGACCTGTAGGTCACCTTGCAGAAGGGAGGAGGCATGGGAGTGTAAGAGCCGGTCATGAGGGGTGGAGTGTGAGGAGAGACTGTTCCATGACGTGACTTCGGTTTGTCCCACAAACTGGTTCAGGCCAGAATGGAGGCTGCTTTCCACAAACTGCCCCTTTGATTGTCTGATCATAATCAACATTCATTCTGACATTAATTGGTACACTTCTTTGCCTCCTGCTCTGCAGCAGTTCTTGGAGCAGGCCTTTGTCTTTTCCTTGTCAAGCATGTAAAGTAATTTCCAATACCTGGTAGCATTCATGAATAGTATCTGTGACTGTCCCTTTACTCTATATAATTCTTTGTTCCCTGCAAAGAAGTGTGGGCATCCATTTTGTCTTGCAGTCACCGGAGAAGAAGCTTGCATGTGAGTCTTTTTTTTGCTAAACTGTTACTTGCCAGATTGGAGTGGCTGCTTCTTTTGTCAGTCTCTCTCTGCCCCCCATTTATGATGCTAGATTTTCAGTTTTGGGGCTTTTCTCTGAGTCTGTTTCTATGAGCACCAGGCTGGTCCACATTCTGCTTTCTGAAATGTTCTCCTGACATCATTCAATAAAATGCAGTCTGAGTCGTTGCTTCCTGTAGCATGAGTGATGAAACACAGTGATTCACATTCTGACTGAATCCTTGTTAATAGATAACTTGGCAATATAACTGAGGCTAGGGACTAGCCATTGTGGCCACAGGGCAAGAAGTACCCTCTGCTCACCAAAGGGCCAGTAGACAGTCATCTCAGAGCCCAAGGGTAAGTGCATCAGGACCATTGGAGGACTGGTCTTTCCTCTGGTGTCTCCCCGCCACTGAGCCTGGCTCTGTTTCCTTCCTGTTTCCTCCCTAATCTCTCTGAGCATCGGGAGTCAGTGTGGACTTTACATGTGGAAAAGGAGCTGGGAAATAAGGGGCTACTTCCAAGGGCAGCTTTGCCTGTCTGTTGGAGGTACAGAGCTCTCAGCCACCTTGAACTAACAGAGACCTGAAGCCATTGTATGTGGTCTCCCATCCATAGCAGGGTAGGCTCATGTGATGCATGCAGTTAGGTACAAGGAAAAGTTGCAATCTGAGAATTAAGATGTGTCCCCATACATCTGTTGGGGCACAGCAAACAGTCCATTTTCTCTTTTTTCTTCCCTTTAGGCTGATATCATCATGCCTCCTTGGGTAGCCTTCCCCAGCCTCATACTACTTTGGGCAGGTAAGTGATAGGTGGGCTGGGGTTTGGAAGGCCTGGGCATGAGGCAGTGCAGGGTGTGTGTGGGTGTGGGTGAGGAAGATGGATGTGCTTGGACTCTGTTGGAAGGTAATGGGTCAACTAGTGAGCAAAGAACCAGGCTGAAATCTTACTCCAAAGTAATTCCTTAAATGGTATGAATCACAAAATCTAAGGGTAAGTATAACATTTTGTTGTATGCTGCCATTTCTGTTTAAGAAAGAGGAGGTGGGTAGGTAGTTGGGTATACATGGACTTTTCACATGTATTTAAGAAATAGTAGCAGTGTTTTCATTGTGTAGGTGAGAATGGAAGGAAGACATGGGGATAGGATGGAAAAGAGCCAGTCTTTCATTTTACATTTTGTGCATTTGTTTTTAACTATGTGCAAATATTTCTTTTAAAAATAAGATATATCCTGGCTAGTGTGGCTCATTTGGTTGGGCATCTCCCCATGCATCAGAAGGTCTCTGGTTCAATTTACAGTCAGGGCATATGCCCGGGGTTTCTGGCTGGATACCAGGTAGGGGCATGCAGGAGGCAGTCTATCACTGTCTTGCTGTCACATCAATGTTTCTCTCTCTCTCATCCTCTCTCTTATTCTCCCTCTCAAAATTAGTAAAAAATCTTTAAAACAGTAAAAATAATATACATGGTGTCCCAAAAATATATATACACACTTTAACAGCCATTAGCTCAATTTGAAAAGAAAATGTATTTAAATAAACACTGTCTTTATAATTATTAAAAGTGTGTGTATACATTTTTGGGACACCTTGTATATTATTTCAAACATTCTCTGAGTTGGAGAATAGATACAACCTAAATTTAAAAATAATAGTCACCAGAGGTGATTTGATTATGGGAAAAAGTTCATTTAAATTATGCCTCCATACTAAAATTTTAAGTTAGCATGCTATATTTGTAATCTACAAATGATGTTAGGCAAAATTAAATATTATAGGCATCAAGAGAAAAAATAGACTCTTACTTTACGTAATGATTACATTTTATTTCCAGAGCACTTTGAAATTCACAGCCCCGTCCTAACTGTGATTAGTTGGGTTACAGCATAGGGAATATAGTCAATAATATTTTAATAACTATGAATGGTGTGAAATGGGTACTAGACTTATTGGGGTGATCACTTCACAAGTTATATAAATTTCTAATCACTATGTTGTACACTTTCAACTGATATAATATTGTATATCAATTGTAATTTAAAAAGAAAAATTAAATAAATAAGATTAGTTGGTACATCTCAGATTTCATTTAAGGACCAACTTGACTGCATTTGATAGTATAGGGTTTTAAAAATATGTATATTTTTATTGATTTCAGTGAGAGGAAGGGATTGGGAGAGAGAGAAACATCAATGATGAGAGAGAATCATTGATAAGATGCCTCCTGCATGCCCCCTACTGGGGATTGAGCTTGCATTCTGGTGTGTGCCCTGACATGGAATTGACCCTTGATCTCCTGAATCATAGATTGATGCTCAACCACTGAGCCACACCTGGCGGGCGACAATATGGGGTTTTAATGCCACTAGTACTAGAGAAAGTTTTTTTTTTTTAATTTATTGATTTTTCACAGAGAGGAAGGGAGAGAGATAGAGAGTTAGAAACATCGATGAGAGAGAAACATCGACCAGCTGCCTCCTGCACATCTCCCACTGGGGATGTGCCCGCAACCCAGGTACATGCCCTTGACTGGAATCGAACCTGGGACCCTTGAGTCCGCAGGCCGACGCTCTATCCGCTGAGCCAAACCGGTCTCGGCGAAAGTTTTTGTTTTTAAGTGGCTTAATTTAGTACTTGATTGAATATTCTTCAGTTCTCTGGGTTCACCATGGGAAGTGGGCCTCGCTCAAGTGCCAGCTGTCATCTACTCATGAGAATGATTTCTACTTGGATTTTTTTGGACCATCCTCAAGAGCATGATCAGCCTTGGCTCTTCTGGAACCATTAGAAACCTATTTTCTAAAAATGGATTCCTGAAAGTTTATTAGACTTCTGCCTATAAGGCAACAATACTTTATTTATTATTTTTATATTTAAATTTTTGATTAAAATTGTTGATTTGTTATTCTACTTACTTATGCATTCATTGGTTGATTCTTTTTTGAAAAAATATATTTTATTGATTTTTTACAGAGAAGAAGGGAGAGGGACAGAGAGTTAGAAACATCGATGAGAGAGAAACATCGATCAGCTGCCTCCTGCACACTCCCCACTGGGGATGTGCCTACAACCAAGGTACATGCCCTTGACTGGAATCAAACCTGGGACCCTTCAGTTTGCAGGCGGACGCTGTATCCACTGAGCCAAACCGGTCAGGGCCATTGGTTGATTCTTGTATGTGCCCTAACTGGGGATCACACCCACAACCTTGGCATACTGATGTTGCTCTAACTACCCAAGCTACCTTGCCAGGGCCTAATAATACTTGATTTATTTATTTAAAATACATATGTTCATCAGCCTGGGTTTTGGGCTCAATCCCCAGTATTGACAGTCATTTGGTTCAAACATTTTGGAAATTAATTTGATAAAAATATTTCTGCTCTTTGTCCTGGTAATTTCTATTTTAGAAGTTTATCCTATTGGGAAACAATTCCAAATACAGAAATAAGTTTAGCCCTAGTCAGTTTGGCTCAGTGGGTAGAGTGTCAGCTCATGGATTGAAGGGTCCAAGATTTGATTCTGGTCAAGGGCATGTATCTTGGTTGCAGGCTCAATCCCAGCCATAGTCAGGGCTCATGCATGAGCCAACCAGTCAATGTGTGTTTCTCACATTAATATTTCTCTCTCTCTGTCTCCCCACTCTCTTCCACTCTTCTAAAAATCAATGGAAAAATATCGTTGGGTGAGGATTAACAACAACAAAAAAAGAAATAAGTTTAAATTATGTGTTATTTACAACTATCAAAATGCTGATAAAGATGTAAAAAGTAAAACATAAAAAAATTTAGATTCAATATTAAAGTCACATGATTACAAATGAAATACACCATATAAAGAGAAGTGGACATAAATATAAAATTACAATATTGAGGCCTCACACTCAGTTTTGTTTTTATTGGCAGATGTTGTTGTTGCTCAGACACGTGTGACTGGAGTGGTGGGACAGTCTGTCACGCTACCGTGTACCTACTCAACAGCTGGTGGAATCGCACCCATGTGCTGGGGCCGAGGGCCTTGCTCTTTATTCAGATGCTCAAATACACTCGTATCGACTGATGGCTACCGTGTCACCTATGAGAAGGACAAACGTTATAGGATGAATGGAATCATTTCCAGAGAGAATTTGTCTCTAACCATACAGAATGCAGCCCTGTCTGACACTGGCACCTATTGTTGCCGTATTGAGTTCAAAGGGTGGTTTAATGATTATAAAGAGAATATATTTTTGGAGATAAAGCCAGGTGAGTTTGTCTTCCTGTGATCACTTCATGTGCATGAACTGAGATGTTTACTGTTTGGTAATGATATTCTCTTCCTTTAAGAAAGAAAGAGGAGGTTCTTCAATCCTGTTTTTTAATAACTTTGGGGAAATAGAATTACTTACTTGTGTAGAATGAAGTGTTAAAAGAATCTAGAGTCAAGAGCGTAGACTAGAGGGCCTTCCCAGTCTGCAGACTATCTCTTAAAGCAGTGCTTCAAAAATGCTGGTTAGTTCATGAAGAGGCATTCACGGCTCCATAGGGAGATGAGGTGAATATTTTTCTCAAACTAAAGTTATTCAATGTAAACAACTGTACCTTTTCTCTGAGATGATGTCCCTGAAAATTTATAAAATGACCTTTCTTAACATTTAACATTTCAAACCTAAAATGGAGATTTTCAAATGTATAGACAATATTGTCAAGTAGATACATTATCAACTTTGACATTTACCAACTCAATCATGTGCATTGTGTAAACGTGTATAGCCCCACCCCCATACTTTGCCCTACCTTGGATTTCATATTATATTGTGATATGATATTGCTTGTTTAAAAATTAAAATGCATTCCAATAACTGTTTATTAGCTGCCTTTAAGATTTTCATAAAATCTAAAAACCTGGCTAATTCACATTTTTTCTCTCTTGAGATGGACATTATAATATCCCAAGTTTCTGAGTTCTTCTTTAATCTCCTTCCAGTAAAGTCTTATATTGACAGTAGAATACAATATTTGTGACTTTAATAAGCTGAATCTCTTTATCTTTTTTTATTATATTAAGAAACCTTTATTTGCAAACTCCCAATTTTTGGACTAGGTTATTTCCTTTGAAAAGGCAAGTAAGAGCCCTAGCTGGTTTGCAAAGCTCAGTGGATAGAACATCTGCATATGGACTGAAGCGTCCCGGGTTCTATTCTGGTTAAGGGCACATGCTCAGGTTGCAGGCTTGATCCCCAGGAGGAGGCATGCAGGAAGCAGCCAATCAATGATTCTCTCTCATCATTGATGTTTCTATTTCTCTCTCCTTCCCCCTTTCTCTCTGAAATCAATAAAAATATATATAAAATTTTGTTAAAAAGGCAAAAAATATAAGGACAGTTCAGATGGAGAAAAAGGCTGACTCTGTAGAAACTGTATCTGAGAAGCAATTCAGAGAAGCCAAAGAAGCTGATGAGATATAGCTCTATAGACAGATGTGCGGTAGCAGCACATGGAGAAGAGATTATGATTATGAAATTTTGGGAGTTGTGAACTTATTTTGATCTGTCTAAATTTTTAAATATAACATGGAAAGGAACAAGTAGGAGACTTTTACAGTGCTTCCCAATTCTTTAATAGAAAGATACTTGAACTTCCAATAACCAAATCTCTGCTTAAGTTTTGTTTCATTATTCACAGGCTCAACTTATTCCTCACCTTTCTGTTAGAGGTTTTCCTAACCTACATCTGTACTTATATCTTCCTAGCTTCTTTCTGGGAAAGACACTAGTATTTTCTACTGATGAGGACAAGTTCCTTACTCGATCTGTTTTGGTTCCCTCTTATTTATTGTTCCTTATGCTCCTTTGATCAGATTTTTTTTTTTGCATACTTGCTTTTTTCTCTATATTAGATTTTTTAATGAAGAGAAAGGATTAGAGTATATACTCCTTAAAAGCTTCTGACTACAGCTTAGATCAAGTTCATCCAACATAATAGCCAGGGCCAGATCATATTCAAAACAGGCCATGGATTGTTTTATAGATAAACTTTATTGGAACAGCTATACCCAATCCTTGTACTATCTGGACTGTGGATGCTTTCACACTGTCAGAGCTGAGCACTGAGACCATAGAGGCCCAAAAGCCTAACAAATTTACAGTCTGGCCCTTTACAGGAAGTTTGCTGACCTCTGCTTAAGACTAATGCCTTGCATGTAATAGATACCAATATTTGTTGAAAAAAAGTTTAGCCTGTTAAGGCACAGATGGGCTTAATTCCATATTAAACGAATTCTCTAAAAAGAAAGACATTCAAACCGATTGTCTACTCTAGGGGTTTCTTTTATAGTTGGTAGAGTTGAGTTTGAAAGAAGCTTCTTGTAAAAAGAAAAGGTGTTGGTGAGCAAAATGTACACATTTTTGAATCAGGCCTTCATTGATCTGCATTTTTGCCAGGCACTGGGTTTGGGTTTAAGTCTAGTGTCAGCATTCTCTGTGTAGCTCTGAGACCTTCCGTAAGTGGTTTTGATTCCAACATCCTATCTGACCCTGGAAAGAGACAAAGTTACTACCTGTGGTCTAGTCCACCTTCCAGCCAATAGATAAAGTGTCTGTGTGATCTTATCTATGCTAGTGGGTGTAAGTTAACCCTCACTTAGGGTGCAGGTCTCTTTGGAGGGTATCCTCAAGACTGAAATGAATACTATGTATTAGTTAATATCTTTTTAACTTTCTGGGCCTAGAAACTATTTTTTAATTTAGTCATTCACCACTGAGAGGACAAAGACAGGTCCAGGCTCTAGACATTTTCCCCAGCTCCGCGATATTGACGAAGATACATAAATCTGACATGCGTGGTTGGTCTTCTCAGAGTGCTTCAGTGGTAACCCTGGGTATCCTTTATCCCCTCTGAACCTCCTCGTATATATTCTTGCTATACAGCTATCTCTGTTTTCTTTGGCTTTTCTTCAAGCCCTCCCCTGTAAGGATCTCATTAACCAAGGACAGGTGTCATAGTTCAGGGCAAATTAGTGCCCAGTTTTGCTTGGGGACAGTCTCTGGTTGGTTATTTTGATGTAAAGGCCCAGCACAAAGTTCTTGTTCCCTGCTGCTTGATTAATCCTTGCTTTCATGTTGATTTCTAGCTCCAACCACTGCTCCAATACCACCTAAGGTCTTCAGCTCTGCTCCTACCACTCCAGGGACCACGCAGAACCTCAAAACAGGTAAAGCCATTTGTTTCTGAGGCCAGAGGCCTTCTAGTAAGAGGGTGGAAACCACCCAGGGCATGTTTTAAAACGTACAATTCAGGATAAGGGTTCTTAGGTGGCTCCAAGCGAGGGTTTCATAGCATCTGTGAACCCCAGTCTCATAGCCAGATTTTGTAACTATAAGTATTTTCAGAATAGGAAGACTCATTGGGTTTTTAAAAAAATCTTTATTGTTGAAAGTATTACAAATAATCCCTTTTCCCCCTCATTGACCCCTACTTGTCTGCAAACGGTCCCCACCCCCCATGCCTTTACCACATTATTGTCTGTGTCCATGGGTTATGCTTATATGTATACACGTTCTTTGGTTGATCTCTTCTACGCATCCACCCACACACCCCTGCCTTTCCTCTGAGATTTGCCAGTCTGTTCCATGCTTTAAAGCTCATTGGTTTTTCTGGTCAGATTCTCAAAGGCATTCATTATTAGCCCAACCCCCCAGATCACTGATCTTTGATATCTAATGAGGATGGTGTGGATTTTGCCCAATGAGTACAGGCTTAAGAGGAAAATACAGGAAATTACAGAGAAAAATGGTCAAGTTAATGGCATTCTGTTCTCCCAAGGAGTTCTGAATAGGGATCCTTTACTTCACTCTGAAGTCAGACTCTCCACCTGAAAATAAGATTGCAGTGAAGTTAATATTCACTCTGTCTCCTATGTCAGGAACCATGCTAAGTACTTTGCAAATGTTATATCATTGAATTCTTATGACAACCCTATGCGTTGTAGGTGTGATTCAGTCTTATTTTATAGGGTGCTGTCAAGTAGATACAGCACCGGCTTTAACAATTGTCCTTTCAATCTTGTTGCATATACATTGTGTAAGCATTGAAATAGACAAGTTCATTAGAAAAACTGGTTAGTTTTTCTCCTATTTATTGTTCCTTTAAAATGATTTTTTTTTGCATGTTCGCTTCCCCCTCCATACTCTATTTAAAATTGGAGGAAGGAACTTGGATTGTATCTTCCTAAAAGCCTCTGATTATACCTTTGACCAGGGTCAGCAAACAACAGTCCAGGGCCAGATTAGATTCAAATTAGGCCTACCAACTGCTTTATAAATAAAATTTTATTGAAACAGTCATATCTAATTATATTATCTTTTCTATAGAAAACTTCACACTGATAGAGTTGAGCAACAGACTCTAAGATCATCAGGCCACCAGAGCTTAATTTAAACATTTACTCTCTGACCATTTACAAAACTTTGCTGACATCTGCTTTAGATTAATGCATATATATATTTTAAAAGAAAGCTTATTGTAAAAGAAAAATAAGGTGCTTGGTGAGAAAAAGGGCCACATTCTTGAATCAGGCCTTCATTGATCTGTTTCTGAGCCATGCATTGTGTTTAGGCTTAATTCTAGCTTCAGCTCTCTCTCTGGGTAGTTGGAGACCTTCTGTAAGTGAGTTGCAAATCTACCCCATCTCTGACTCTGCAAAGTGTCAAAGTTATTACCTGTGGTCTAGTTCACCTTCATCCAAATGTATGTTGTACAAATCCTTCCTGTGATCCTGCATCTGCTAGTGGGGGTGAGTTAATCCTCCCCCCACCACTTGAGAGGGTACCCTCAGGAGTGACTGAATTTAATGCTACTTATTTGGTACACATTTTGGGTCTGGGAGCTGCTGTTTAAGTACATCTTAGTCATTCACCACTCAGAAGACTAAGGCAGATCCAGGCTCTAGATATTTTCTGTACCTCGCAGATGTTTATGAAGATACATATATCTGATATAAATGGATGATCTTTTCACAGTACTTCAGCTTTAATTCTGGATAGCCCTTTTCACCTCTGAATGTCCTGGAGTGCATACATTTCAATGCATGTTTTCCTTTGGCCAGACAGTTTTCAGATTTTAATTGAGAAAGGATAAGAACTCTGAATTCAGGAGAGGTTGGTGCCCAATTATGCCTGGGGACAGACAGACTCTCATTAGTTGAATTGATATAAAGGCCCAGCACAAAGCTCTTGTTCCTTGCTGCTTGATTAATCCTTGCTTTCATGTTGATTTCTAGCTCCATCTAAGGTCACCAGTGTTCCAACACCACCTAAGGTCTCTACCTATGCTCCTATAATTCCAGAACCAACATGGAACCTTAAGACAGGTAAACTGATGTGTTTCTGAGGCAAGAAGCCTTCTAATGAGTGGATGAAGAAGACCAGAATATGTGTTAAGGCAGAGTTGCCATCTATGCTAAAAGTTTTTCCCTGGGCCTCATGTGATCTATGAAACTTTGTCCAATATTACATTCATCTAAGAGGTATCTTCAGAGTGAGGGGATCTTTTTTTAAAAAAAATTGGATCCTCAAGGGGTTTCATCATTAGCCAAAGAACCCAGACCTGTGATATTGGACAACTAATTATGTGGATATGTTCCAGATGGCATTGGTTTATGAGAAAAATCTAGGTTATTCCATAGAAGAAGGGAAATCTGAGTGGAATTTCTTTAGTCCTCTCTGAATTTGGACCCTTCATACAAGGATAAGAGCCTACCACTAGTTTTACCTATAATATTTTATTGAAAGAACCATTTCTAATCATTGTACCATCAGGTAGGTCTATGGCTGCTTTCACAATGACAGAGTTGAACAACAGCCACTCAGACTATAGCCGCCAAACCCTAACACTTTCATCTGGCTGTTTACTGAAGATTTGCTGACCTGTGCTTTAGACTAATGCTTTGCATATAATAGATACTGACAAATATTTGATTTATGTTTCTTGCATTTCATGGCAAAAATTGGCTTGATTCCAAATTAAACTGGATCTCTCCAAAGAAAATCTTTTAAACCAATGGCCTCCTGTTCAAAGGTTCTCTTTTTTCTAGTTAGTAGAGCTAATATTCAAGGAAGCTTCTCATGGGATACAAAGGTGCCTGGTGAGAAAAAAGTGCACATTGTAGATCAGGGATTCATTGATGACCTTTTGTGCTAGGCACTGTGTTTGTGCTTAATTTTAGTGCGCGCTCTCTCTCTCTCTCTGTTGTGGGTAGCTCTGAGACTATTGTAAGTACTTTGAAATTGTAGATCTTCTCTATCATGGAAAGAGCCCATGTTATTACTTTTTTCATCTCTTAGTTTGGAAGGAATCATTAGTGGTCTAATTCACCTTTCAACCAAATGTATAATGTATAAATGATCTGTGTGATCTAGCATATACTTGTGGTGTGAGTTAATTTAGGGTGCAGGACTCCTGGGAGGGTGTCCTCAGGACTGATTAAAATGAATGCTATTTATTGGGTAAACATTCTGGACTTGGAACTGCTATTGAAATCTTAGTCATTCACTACAGAGAGGACAAGAACATGTCCTGGCCCTAGACGTTTTCCCCACTTCACTAATGTGTATAAAGATATATAGCCCTAGTCCGTTTGGCTCGGTGGATAGATCATTGGCCCTCGGATAGTAGGGCCCCAGGTTTGATTCCAGTCAAGGGCACATACCTGGGTTGCAGGTTTGATCTTCAACCCTATCAGGGCAAGTGTGGAAGGCAATTGATCAATGTCTCTCTCTCTTTCTGTCTCTCGCGCTCCTACTCTCTGTAAAAATCTATGGAAAAATGTCCTTGGGTGAGGGTTAAATATATATATTTAATATGCATGGCTGGTGTTTTCAAAATGCTTCAGTGAATAAGCCAGTAACCTTTATCAACCCTGGAATATATACTTTTCAATGCAGCTGTTTCCTTTTTGCAGGCTGGTCCTCAATCCCACTCCTGTCAGATTCTAGTAGATTAAGGACAAGAGATCTGAGTTTAGGGGAGAATAGTGCCTAATTCTGCCTAATTTGGATATGTTGATATGCAGGCCCAGCAACAAAGCTCTCATTCTCTGTTTCTTGACTAATCCCTGCTTTCATGTTAATTTCTAGCTACACCTAATGTCACCATGATCCCAACATCACCTACCGGTATGGTTTCCACCTCTGCTACTGCAACGTCAGCACCCACGCAGAACTTCAAGACAGGTAAATTGATGTGTTTCTGAAGTCATTAACCAATTAAAGAACAAAGACAGGTCCAGGTTCTAGACATTTTTTCTCACCTCACTGATGCTTATGAAGATACATAAATCTGATATGCATGGTTGGTCCTCTCAAAGTGCTTCAGTGTTAATCCCAGGTATCCATTTTCACTTTTGAACTTCCTGGAATATATACTTTTCCTTGGGCCTAGAGACACACTCAAGAGGCCAAAGAGCCGCATGTGGCTCGCGAGCCGCAGTTTGCCGACCACTGGTCTAGGGAATTCCAGGAAGTAGGGTTAGGCTAATGAGAATCTGTCCTCATGTTCTAGACATTTTCCCCACCTCACACATGTTCATGAAGATACATACATCTGATATGCATGGCTGGTCTTCACAAAATGCTTCAGTGTAAATTACAGGTTTCCTTTTCACCTGTGAAACCCCTGGGAAATATACTTTCCCATACAACTGTTTTCTTTTTGCCAGTGTGACTTCAAGCCCTCCCCTGTCAGAGTCTATTTGAACAAGGACAGGAACTCTGAGCTCAGGGGAGATTAGTGCCCAGGTCTGCAGGGGAACCTAGTCTCTCACTGGTTTTGTTGATGTTCATGCCCAGCACAAAGCTTTTGCTTTTTTTGCTGCTGGATTTATTCTCATTGTCATGTGGATTTCTAGCTGCACCTGAGCTCACCAGGGTCCCAAGATCACCTGGGGTCTCCACCTCTGCTACAGCACCAATTCGCCTGCAGAACATCCTGAGAAAGAAAGTGATGTATTTTTGAGCCCAGAGGCCTTCCAATAGAGGAGGTACACCACCCAGGGTATTATCATGAGGTGGAAGTATAATCTAGGATTAATGTTCTTCCCTGGGTTACAAATGTGAGCTTCACAGTAGCTGACAATCCTCATTCCAGATTACTTGTTTCCTTTGTGTCTATAAATATTTTTCAAGTAAATAGACCCATAGTTTTTTAAAATCAGATTCTCCAGGGGATTATTAGCCCCCAAATCCCCAGACCATTTATCTTTTTTTAATTTTTATCTTCACCCAAGGATATTTTTCCATTGATTTTTAGAGAGAGTGGAAGAGAGGGAAAGAGAGAGAAACATCAATGTAAGAGAAACACATAGATTATTTGCCTCCTGCACCCGTCCTGACCAGGGCCCGGGCTGGGGAGGAGCCTGCAACCAAGATACAAGCCCTTGACTGGAATCGAACCCTGGAACTGTTAGTCCGCAGGCTGACACTCTTTCCACTCAGCCAAACCAGTGAGGGACTCAGACCATTTCATTTATTTTTGACATCTAATGAGAATGGTGTGGATTTGGTTCAGTTGAGCACAAGTTTATCAGAAAAATATAAATGAGTGTCTGCTTAATGAGATCTACCCTCACTGAGAGCTGGAAGTAGAGATCCTTTTTTTTTTTTTTAAATATATTTTATTGATTTTTTTACAGAGAGGAAGGGAGAGGGATAGAGAGTTAGAAACATCAATGAGAGAGAAATATTGATCAGCTGCCTCCTGCACCCCCTCCCCCCCACTGGGGTTGTGACTGCAACCAAGGTACATGCCCTTGACTGGAATCGAACCTGGGACCTTTCAGTCTGCAGGCCGATGTTTTATCCACTGAGCCAAAACAGTCAGGCTGGAAGTAGAGATCCTTTATCCACTCTGATATTGGAGCCTCATGTGGCAGGTAAGGCTTCATCAAGATGACCCTGTGTGGCCCTAACCAGTTTGGCTCACTGGATAGAGTGTCGGCCTGCGGACTCAAGGGTCCCAGGTTCGATTCCGGTCGAGGGCATGTACCTTGGTTGCGGGCGCATCCCCAGTGGGGGGTGTGCAGGAGGCAGCTGATCGATGTTTCTCTCTCATCGATGTTTCTGGCTCTCTATCCCTCTCCCTTCCTCTCTGTAAAAAATCAATAAAATATATTTAAAAAAAAGATGACCCTGTGTGACAGAATTCATGCAAAGTTCTCTTTACTCCATTTTACAAATTTTAATTTATTTATTATTTTAAATTACAGTTGACATACAATATTATATTAGTTTTAGGTGTACAACCCCATGATTAGACATTTATATAAGTTTCACAGTGATCACCCTGGTAAATCTAGTATCCATGTGACACCATATATAGTTATTACAATATTACTGACTATATTCCCTGTGCTGTAGTTTACACCCCCGTGACTATTCTTGTAACTACCAATTTGTACTTCTAAATCCCTCGATCTTTTTCACCCATGAACCTAACCCATTTCCCATCTGCTAAGTTCTTTACAATCATTGTATTACTTAATTCTTATGACAGCCCTATGCATTGAAGGTGTGATTCAGTTCTACTTTATAGTTGTGGGCACAGAGTCCAAGTTCATTGTTGAAAGACATATGAGTAGAAAGTGGTTGAGTCAGGATTCAGTCTCCTTTAGTTTGAATTTGCAACTGTGGGTATAACTACTGGATGGTGTTTCTGCCATGAGGCCTGAAGTTATATTAGGATGAATTTGTCCTGCTCTGACACCCTCATTGAAAAAGCCCTTTATATAATTACCTTGTCTTTTTATGTCAGTCAGTGACAGTTTTGCTTCTAGCATTCTTTACTTTAGTATGTAGCATAAAATTTTTTTTAAAAAATGCTGTTTATACTTATGACAAAGTAAATATCTGATTTAAGAATTTCAGGGATTTAGAATGTATAGCTTCTCTTTTTAATTCAGGCTACATGTTCAAGTTTCTGAGTTTAGATGCAATACAAATGGAGAATAATTTGATGTATGGGTGGGGAAATAGCTTGGCCTTCTGAGGACAAGTTCAGGTTCAAACCTTCTATTTTTAAGATTAAAAAGATAACACTTAGTGAAGATTCTTAAAGCCTTTCCAACTCTTTGACTCATTGAGGTGATCTGGATTCTGAAGAGTAACAGAAATGTCTCAACCTCTTAGCCAGAGAAATCTGGTGGAACATTGATTTTCCTTAACTCCCATTGAGCCTTGTGTGTATTTATCTGGTAACCAGGAGGGATCTGAAGCATTTGGGCGATGAGCTGAGTTTGGAGGAGAAGGCTTTAGGTTAGAACTCAGATTTTAGAGCCATAAAAGTATATCAGAAAAATAGCTTTGTTCCAGGCAGCTGAACATACTAGAGAATCTGTTGACTTTCTTAATATTGATTTAGCTTCTTTATACTTAGTTTGACATAGTGTGTGCCTGTAAAAGTGTGAGGATTAGTGGACTTGGTTTAGTGAACATATGTAAGTTTTTTTACTTCATTTAAAGCAGAGATTCAGAAGAAAAAAACTGCGTGACCTCCTGGGGAATATTAATTGTATTATTAGTTGAATTGAGCCTTATCTTTATCCTGATAGTTTCCTAAGGAGTTTGAGTCTAGAGTTGAGCTTCACAGTACAGGAAGGAGGTGAGCACTGGAGCTAATTCAATGCAGAGACATTTACTTTTACATCCACTACCCTGTCTGTCCTCAGTGCCTCCAGCACATGTTTGTTTCCTAAAATATGCATGAAATGGTTGGATGTAAGATTATAGGAGGAGGGGAGCAAAGAAAGATGCCCACAAGAAATCAAACTTGGGGAAGAAGTTAAGGTCAAGAGGCCTTTTGCACAGACCTAAGTTGGATAGACTGATCATCTGACTTTCTTGTACTGTCCTGTTCTTTGTTCCTAAAGAGAGCCACATCCTGTTATAGGGTTCAGTATTGGAGGTAAACTTGCAATGGGTTCAGAAGATAAGGAAGGGTGATGTTAAAATGTGAAGATGGTGGTGGGAAAGGGGAATCAGGAAGACTGATGAAAGGCAATAAGGAAAGCCCAGGTCTGCGAATTCTTGCCCAGCCAGCACCACTAATTTGCTCTAAGTTCTGTGGTGCTCTCCAGGGAGGGAACATGAAGATTTTATAAGGAGGCAAGTGATGCATAGCGGTGTGCTTGAGAATTCTTAGTGATGCTTTTTGGTGAGAAATGGAAGATGAGTCAGATAACACAGGAAATCAGTCATTCAGAAGGAGTGAGCAGAATGCAACTGCAGAAGGAGCTGGGGTCACGGTCTACCAGGAACCTGGCCGAGGGCTGTGAATCATTACCAAGTTGAGAGATTGGGCAATGCAGTCACCTTGAAGAAACTTCAAGGAGTTAAATATTGTGAGGGTGTATTCTGTGCTGGTTCATATGTGCATCTCTCTGGAAAGATGTGTGCATGTATAATCATCAACTTGAATAATGTCAGAAAATCCAGATTGGGGTTTTTGTGAAGATGGGATGACAGATTAGTATAAATTCCTAGGCTCTGTTCTATGAACATGAAATGTCATTTGTATGGATAAAAGCTTAATCGGGTGTCTTACATAAGATGCACTGTCATAGGCATTATGCATTTAGGGAGATCTTAAGAGTATGAAAAGTGTGAAATAATTCTGTCTATAGATAACTGTCCAGACCATTATCTATATCAGATTTATTCCTGATAATAAAGACCTAGTTGGCAGTGCAATGTCTCAATGTTATCTTTGAATAAATTTCTAAGAAAGAGTTGAAGGTAATTCCCAATTTTAGGTTTGTTGCCTATTTTTGTTGGGGCTGGAGATTTTTCTACAAATAGAACAGAGCTCTTTCATTCTTTTTATTTCAGAAACCACTTCATCTTCTCCACTGCAGACAACAGAAACCCAGCCTATCACACCACAGGAAACAAGTACGACCAGCTCATCATTGAACTCTTCTTGCCCAATAGGTAACTGCATTTTCTTTCCTGAAGACCTAGAGCATTCAAAATTTGAAAGTCATTGACATATAGTTAAGAGCACATATTGTGACATGAGTGCCGACACTGGCCCCTCTAATCTGCTATGTGACTGAAACAAATGTCTTACCCTCTCTGAATCTGTTTTCTTCATTTCTAAATGGATGGAACATCACTGATCATGCGGAATCCTTGTGAGGATTAAATGAGATGAGGAGCTTGGGACATAGGTATAGGGGGTAAGTGATAGCAACTATGACTATTACTTAGATGTCCAGAGTATCTGACTAACATAGGCAGCTTGTATGATTTGGGAACCCCCACATGCATATACCGATTTTTCTAAATCAAATGAATCAGTTTTGACTCCATATTTATTACTGGGCTTGCCCCCTTTGGCCAGAGCTGTAAAACAATTACCTCCAGACCGAAATGGTCACCTGTGTTTACATTTTGCTTAAGCTCCAGAGTCTAAATACACCCAGCAGGCTGTTCTGCTGCCTTGTCAGGCTTGCAGGTACTAATAGACACTTAGTGGTGGGTTGGGGACAACAATGCTGGCACCAAAGAGAGAGTCTCCCCTACTCTCTGACAGATTCCATGTAGTCTCTACTCTTGAAAGGGTAGATTGACCTGTCTTTCCCATGGTGGAGAAAGGTGATACTGAAACCTATCATCTTTACCAGCTGACTCTGTGCCCCATAGTGGGAAGCGTGGGGAATGCCACATGCTGACTATGTGTCCTTGTGCTGTATCCAAACAAGGTCAAACCTTGCAAGACTCCTCCTGTGTATGGCCCCCTGTGGCTTTAGATAATAGTGGCATTCAGTTTTGAAAGTGGAATCGCTGACAGCACGGAGAAATTGGGGCCAGTGCCAGCAGCAGGTGTGAACAGGGCTGGTGCCATCAGTGGGTGTGAGTGGCGACTGCTGGCTGCCCCAATCACCCCTTAGGAGCAGGGGGAGGTAGAGAAGCCCTCAGGGGTGATCAGGGCCGGCAGCCACTGCTTGCACCTGCTGATGGCACCGAACGATTGGGACCGGCGTTGGGCACCGGCAGTGGGTGTGAGCAGTGGCTCCGGCGCTGGCAGCGGGTGCAAGCCGGGCCAGCGCCTGCAGCAGGTGCAAGCACCAGGCGGGATCGCGGTGTGCAGGAGCAAAGAATTTTTTAGTAACCACCAGAGGCTCACCCCGATGACAGTGACTGGTGCCCTGCCTTGGTCTGGCGCCCCCGCTCACCTGCTCCACCATCCCGCTGCGGCCACTGCCCGCCATGTCCCTTGCACTCCCCCGGTGGTCAGCGCACGTCATAGCAACTGGTTGTTTGATTGTTCTGGTTGTTCCGCTGTTCAGTCTATTTGCATATTAGCCTTTTATTATATAGGATAGTCAAGATATGGAAGCAATCTAAATGTCCATCAATAGGTGAATGGATAAAGAAGAGGCAGTACATATTACTTGGCCATATAAAGAATAAAATCTTGCCCTGGCCAGTGTGAATCAGTGATTAGAGTATTGACCCATGCACCTAAGGGTCTTGGGTTTGATTCTCGGTCAAGAGCATGTGCAGGAGGCAACCAATCGATGTGTCTTTCTCACATAGATGTTTCTCTCTCTCTCTTTCTGTCTCTCTCTCTCTTCCTTCTTTCCCTTCCTCCTTTCCACTCTCTCTAGAAATCAATGGAAAAAATATACTCAGGTGAGCATTAACAACAACAACAAAAATCTTGCCATCTGCAACAGCATGGATGGACCTAGAGGGTATTATGCTAAGTGAAATAAATCAGACAGAGAAAGACAAATACCATATGATTTCATTTATATGTGGAATCTAAAAAAGGAAATACATGAATAAACAAAACAGAAACAAACTCATAGATACAAAAAACATTTTGATGGTTGACAGATGGGATGGAGTTTGGGGGGATGGGTGTAAAAGGGGTGGACAGGATTAAGAAGTACAAATTGAGGCCTGGCCTGTGTGGCTCAGTTGGTTGGAGCGTTGTCTCGTGCACTGAAAGGTGGTGGGTATGATTTCCAGTCAGGGCACATACTCAGGTTGTGGGTTTGATCCCTAGTCAGGGCATGTGCAGGAGGCAACCAATCAATGTTTCTTTCTCATATTGATGTTTCTCTCTATCTGTTTCTCTCCCTTTCTCTCTCTCTAAAACCAGTAAAAGAATGTCCTTGGGTGAGGATTAAAAAGAGAAGTACAAATTGGTAGTTACAAAACATCATGGGGATATAAAGTATAGCATAAGAAATATAGTCAATAATATCGTAATAACTATGTATGGTATCCGGATGGGTACTATATTTTTTGAGTGATCACTTCGTAAGTTATTTAGATGTCTGGTCGTTACGTTTTCCACATGAAACTAATATAACATTGTATGTCAACCCTATTGAAAAATAGGAAAATTATTTTAAAAAGTAAACTAAACAAGAAACTAATAAAAATGGTCACTTATAAGTCAGTTTGTATGGGGATTGGTAGAGATTGGAGGCAAGAAGAGAGACTTTTTATGTCATTTTCAGTTTAGACTGTCTAAAAGTACTAGTTATTTAAAATATAGGAGTAAGTTAAAATTAAGATATTTTTAGCATTTAAAAATTTTGCATGCATACATAAATATAATGTTTTTACGAAAAGCCCTTAAAGAATAGTACCCTTTAATATTAGGATTTTAGGTATATGATATATTGGTCTTATGGTTGCTGTACCATGTATTTTTCTAAAGTACTTCTGGATCAAAGCCTAGGCACCTTGACATTTAAGGTAGGAATTACATGCCACCTGTCTTAGATATCTTAGTACCTTTTGCTTACATTTTTAATGTAAGATCAATGTAATGTCCATTCTGAATAGAGTGGTTTGATCTTTAGATGTGCATATGGACTCTGGGCATTCATTGACAGTTCTTCACTGGCATGAAAATATTGATAATCTATCTATAAGTGGCATTTTAAACCTGGTTCCAAAAATGGCTTCTGTACCCCTGATTTATAGGTAAAACTTTATATATAATGCATTTCTTTTCCATAAAGAAGAAAAAAGGGGTCCATTTTCACAGGGTCCATGACAAAATGATTAAGAAACACACCTTAAAGATAAATTATTAAACACTAGTAACTTGGTATAATTCTTGCAATGCCTGCAGCATTTTTCCAATACCTAAGTGTTTGTAGCAAATTTTCAATATTTTTTATAATTCTAATTAATGTTTTTTTTGTTGTTGTTGAGCAGATGGGAATAGCACTGTGCCACAACTTTCAGATGGCAGTTGGCAATGCAATAAAACTGTAAGCAAATTCCTTCCTATTTTATTAGCCATATTCACTTGTATGTCCCCCTGGAAGCAAGTTACATTTAGAGATTACTTCTGTAAGGCTGGGCTACATATTGGTTCTTTCTAGTTAAGAGACAAAGAAGAAAATAACTTGCTTCTTAAATAGGGGTGCTTTGGTTAATTGGTAAAGTTCATATGGATACAGGTAGACCAGTTTGTTAGAGATGCCTGATAACTCACACACATACACACAACACTCACACACTACAGACTTTCTCCTGGCCAAAAAATTGGACAAAAAAAGAATGAACTAGTTTAAGGAGAGTGAGTTAACATAACATTCCCTGGAAGACTCCAGTTAACATTAGGGGAATAACATGCTTTGAATCACTGTGCTGGCATGGAGGCTGTTCCAAACAAAAATATTATGTAAATGAAAGTGCTGCTTAAACATAGGTCCCCTAATATCCTTTTCCAACCCAAATGCCTTCTATATAGAAATTTTGGGGCTGTTGTAAAGTTTTTCTACACCTTAACCTCCCCATAGGATGACTTGTTAAGGTGTTAACTGGTCACAAGTGGTGAGAAATGACAACCTGCAATAGCAAGAGAAATTCAAGCTGAGACAAAGTGGGCTGATCTTGTGTAGGGTTAGATTACTGTTACTGTTAACCTTAGTTACAAAGCAAACACTGCATAGGAGTGATGAAATATTTTACCAATTTGTATGGCATGATTGATCCAATGAATGTGGGCTGAATTTGTATATACCTCCTAAATATCAGAACTGCCACTATGGAAATGGTTACTATATCGCTATATAGCCAGATTTATGCGGATTTTTTAAAGCACATTTCACCCTAGCTGGTTTGGCTCAGTGGATATAGTCTCATCGGCCTGCAGACCAAAGGGTCCCTGGTTTAATTCTGGTCAAGGGCATGTACTCAATTGTAGGCTCCTCCCCAGCCTGGGCCCTGGTCGGGGCTTATGCAGGAGGCAACCAATCGATGTGCTTCTCTCACATAGATATTTCTCTCTGTTTTTCCCTCTCTTCCATTCTCTCTAAAAATCAATGGAAAAATATCCTCGGGTGAGGATTAAAAACAATAATAATGAAAATCAAAAAATAAAAAAGCACATTCTGAATGGCGAGGTTGTTCTTGAACTCAGCTGTAGGATGGTTAGGTTTAGCAAAGAGTAGAAGCAATTTGGATGCAAGTTCATCATAGGTCACAGCAGAATCATCGGCTTTTTGTGCCTTGATTCTGAGGATGTCAGCATGTCTCCCTGGAATCTTGAAAACATGCAGCAGGTATTTTGACCCAGTAGGTCAACTCCCTGGACTCTATGGTAAGGAAAGAATTGAACAAAAACATGAAGATGCATGAGAAAATATGTTCATTTATAATCATGAAAATGTTATGAACAACCTCAGTGGTCAATAGTAAGGGATTAATTAATGAATTAATGAATTAATTAAACACACCCACATATTGCCATTAAGAATGTCATTATTTCAGTGCATTTACTGACATGAGAAGACATTATTATTGATTATTATGTGAAACTCTAACTTTAAATAGTATATATACTACAGTATATATTGAATATAGTCATTATTTATGTTAAGAAAAGAACACTACCCCAGGACAGATTATCAGATATGGCCTGGGGACCTCAACACCTGGGGCCCTTTCTGTCAGCCCACGAAAGGGGGCGGAACCATATCTGCAAGACAAAGACCCCAGAAGGTTATTAAAAGTGAAGCCCTCTGTGTGTTTCTTCACTCTGATTTGGAAATTATTCCCGGAGTCCACTAGTGTTAATAAATGAGGTCCCTCCCTTTCTCTAAAAAAAAAAAAAAAAAAAAAAGAAAAAGAAAAAAACACTAGACAGAAAATACTGAAAGAGTATGTAATAAAAAACGATAACAATGTTTGTTTTGGAGGTGTAGGATTATGGTTGATTTTAGTTTTTCTTTCCTTATGCTTAGCTGCACATTCTAAAATAAACATGTAGTTTCTATGTAATGTAATATTTATAAAAAGCAAAGCCTCCATCTAACCACTTTACTTCCTCCCCCCCCCCCCCCCCAAGATAATTCCAATGCAGCTTTTCCCTCCCAGATAGTGGCCATTCCCCTTTAAACATGGATGGCATAAATTCTAAATTACCCTGTTATTTCTCGTCATGTTTTCCTGGACGTGTCTGAAAGTTCCTTTCCCAAGGACTCTACTCAATCTGTAGTTGACAGACACACAGAAACAGAGGTTCAGAGAAGTGTAATAACTTGTTGAGGGTCTCATAGCAACTAAAAGAGCCAGGATTCTGACTCCAAAGATTAAACTTTTATGCACCAAGAAGCTTGATCCTTCTCTCTGATCTTCCTTTCTGTTAAAATATCTACCCTGTGGGATCTTTTTAGGATTAGAGCTAAACTATGTAAAGGGGCCTGGCATGATGCTTGGCATGTTTTGGGCTTATTCTAGGAGGATAATCCCTTCTAAATTACCCCAGGAGATTTTAAACAAAATTCTGCATTTTTAACCAATTGCATAGCATTTTAAGTTAAATGTTAACCAGGGCCAAGCTTGTGAGTAAGCTGATTTTAGGTCCATTTATTTTTATTTATTTAGTTATTTATTTTTATATTTCTTTATTGATTTCAGAGAGGAAGGGAGAGGGAGAGATAGAAACATCAATGATGAGAGAGAATCATCAATCGGCTGCCTCCTGCACGCCCCCTACTGGAGATTGAGCCTGCAACTCAGGCATGTGCCCTTGGCAGGATCGAACCTGAGACCCTTCAGTCCACTTGCAAAAGCTCTCTATCCACTGAGCAAAACCGGCTAGGGCTCAGGTCCATTTATATAGACATAAATAGAATCTTGAATTATAGTTTAAAAAAAAAAGGACTGTATCAATGGCCAAATTCATGAATTAAGTACATCCAGATAACATCACCAAGTCAACTTCTACATGAACATTTTTTTTCTTTTTTAGTATCAGAAGAGAATATATTTATGAAAATAACTTATTGATTTCTTTTGAAGATATTGGTAATTTACATGTAATAAGGAGCACACTTCGCACCCATATAAATCCCACTCCAAGCATGATGTAAAACATTTCCAATACCCTAAGTACATATTGAATTTCAAATTCCCTTACAATTTCACCATGGTTACAACCTCAGGAGATCATTTGGTCTTACCCATCATGATCTAGAAGTAGACAAGGGCCAATTAAGACAAATGTGTCTGAGTACATTATTTGAGGAAATGATTGCTGTGTATAATTCTAACAAGATGCTTTTTCAATCTGCTGATGTTCCCTTAGCACACGGACTTGAATCAAAATTCATGCTTGAGCACCAATAAGTCACTCTACATTGGACTCTCCATTATGGCCATGGTATTGTTGCTCACTATTTTGGCTGCCATAGTTTCCACAAGTAAGTCATTTCAGAACTGTGCAGAGTGAGGGCTGTCTAGCTAAACTGCCTGGGTCTAGGGAACTTCACACACCACGTACTTTTGATTTCTCATAACTTCCCTGTTTCATAACCTTGTTTTTTTTTTGTTTTTTCTTAAAAATATTGGCCTGTAAAAAACAAAGGAAATTTAAGTTCTCCACAGGAGAAATAAAACACTAAGAAATAAGGGTTTGTTGGGTGAAGCTGGGATTTGGAAGGCAACAAACCACTGTACTAAGCAGATTTGTTTACTCTTCCTCCTCTTTTCCCCTCAAGACCCCGTTTCTGCTCCCATGAAGGATAATATTGTTGAGAGTCTTACAGCACTCACTTAGCTGAAGAGGAAAATGAGACATTGGAGGGAAACAGATTTCAGGCCAAGGCTAGACCAACGGGTTTCAAAAACTAGCCATCCACCAGCTCTGTATGAGTACGTGTGTGTGCAGCTGGCCTCCATGGATGAACCACAATCATCCATTTTTAAAAATGAAATATGATTATTAATAATTGCATTAAAGTAAGTTTGGGCATATGTGTGAATACACTAAACCATTAATAAACATGAGATAGTTTGCACACCGGGGCTTCTTTGGGTCCTACTGAGTCAACAGTCACAGGGAAGAGCCTAGTCTGAGTTTTGTTTGTTTTCCTTTTTTAAAAAACATTCTTCTAGCCCGGCCAGGGTGGCTCAGTGGTTGAGTGTCATCCCCTGCACCAAGAGGTTGCTGTTTTGATTCCTGATCAGGGCACATGCCAGGGTTGTGGGCTCTGTCCCCAGTAGAGAGCTTTCAGGAGGCCGCCCCAGTAGGGGGTATGCAGGAGGCAGCCAGTGTTTCTCTCTCTCCCTCTTCGTCCTCTTCCTCTCTCTAAAAATCAATAAAAACATATTAATAAACAAACAAAAACATTCTTCTAAATTTAACTTTTTCCGCCTCTGGCTTTGTACAGATTTCGTTTATATTAAAGTAATAGCAGAAGTACTATGCTAGTACATGGTTAGAAAAAGATCTCATAAACTCTTTGACTGACATGTTTTATTTTCTCTTCAACTCTTCCCCAATTTAGAATATTTGTGTGGGAAAATAAAGGTGTTGCAAAGAAGGTAAGCTTGAAGGGTTCGTGTCAATGCCTTTTGATGTTTCTACTCTAATAAAAATAAATAAATAATTCTCTCTGTTCCTCTCCTCTTTCTCCTGAACTCTCCAGTTTACACCCTGGATCCTGACAAATCTAATTCAGTGGCTGCCTCCATCACTGTCCACACCTTCCAGTGATATTGTTAGCTTTCTATATTTACATGGAATTGTGCCATGAACTTCTACAGAAACGGCACTTCAATCCTAAACTCTCAGACTAAGGGAACTAAATCTCAATAGTGTTTGATGAAATTACATTGGAATGAGTTGTTTGGTTTGTTCTTGATGTCATTCAGTATTTTGTTTACTGAAAGCGATGACTGAAACAGACAAAACATAGAAGCAAATCAACAGAGTCCTTTTAGTGCTTCCAGGCAAATAGCATGGGGAATGTAGACCAGGGTAGTGGGCTGTGTGAGTGAGCCTGATGGAGTAAGAGGCCACTGGCAAAGATCTGGAGGAGGACAACTCCAGGCTGAAGCAGTCCCCCATCCCCTGTCGTTCCACACCCAGCATGCTCTGCTGCTTTACATTAGATATCTGGCTTCATAGCATTTGATGTACAATTTTTGCAAATCTAACCTATTGCCCAATTAAAACTTAAATCTCCTTTACTTTCATCCACTTCCTGTGGCCATCTAAACAAATACCTGTAATGGTATGAAACCAGTATTTACCACTAATCCCAAGTAGCCTGCTTCTTTTAGTCCAGTTAGGGCTTTAAGCAAGGTCTTTCTTTGATTCACCAGCCATCCCTCTTAGGCTGCCATTCATTATTCCTAGTTCTGTTTTGTTGGATGTCAATCTTTTTTATGTCTTAGTTCCATGAGCCAATCCACAGACTTTGCCTTGAACAATAACCAACATATTGCAAGTGCTCCATAAATGTTGGCTTCTATTATTGCAATAAAGCCCACATAGCAATAAACCTGTGAGATAGGCACTATTATTCTCACTTTATACATTGGAAGTCGGGTTCAGAAACATTAAGTGACATCCAAGTTCATACCATACAGCAGATAAAAGACTCAATATTAGGTCTTTGGGGTCCAGAACCCGGACTATAGAAGATTTGACTGCCTGCTTTCAGCAATAGAAGGAAAAAGAATACTCATTAAGGCAGAAAAGCATGATTCCTGTCTTTTCACTGTCAATATTTTATGTATCTTTTTAGTTGATTTTTGCCCTTTTCCTGTCAACATATTCTTTACATCCACTTCTTATCAATTATAAAAGAAACAATGTAGAAAATATTGTAAAATATAAAAGAGCAAGAAAAAACAAGAGAGAGAGAAAGAAGGAGAGAGAACGAGCGCATTTATGATGACACCTTTGGGGCAGCTCTTTCACACTGACTCATTTTGAACTCTTGACACCTAAACTGGTTCCCACATGTACGCCTGGTTCTTTTAATGATCTGAGTTGAGTGAAGACTCTACATTTCATATCATTTCTGGGCAGGCTCAGGTAATAAAAACCATCACTGTGCACAAATTATAAAACAGCAGCTATATCAAAGCTCTACACATAACCTTTTTATACATTTGCTGTGTGAGTGTATTATGAAAGTTATCTAACACATGGCTTTCCCATTCTGACCATAAAGACACAGTAAGATTTTTGACATCATGATCCAGTACACACTTATGTGAAATCACACTATATTACTACATAACACACTCTGATATTTTGTATTCTGTTTATCCTAAATACAGGAAGTAGACAACTATATAGATTTAATAACCCTCTCTAAAGAGCACAATCCACAGTTGGAAATACACCAGCCAAACCATTTCATAACCACCTTTGTGAATATGCATCTTGATTTAGTACTTCCATTTCATGTCTGACAACTGTCTTAGATTTTCAACTGTTGTATTCTATTACATGGATCTCTTGAAGGACAATAGTCTAATACGTCTTAGGTTTTGCTTTGCTATTTTTTTTCAATCCTGCTTATTAAACAAACTTTCCCACAACTTAATATTTACAACTCTGGAATCTTCTAGTCATTTAATAGGTTGTGTGAGTGGGGCTCTAGTGTTGCAAATAGACAAATGTGCTGCTCGTTATTTAGAAATGATATTTTTCACTTACTCATGTTATTCTTTTTGTAGTGAAGAACCTCAGACTGGAACTTCGCAAAATGAAACTGCAGGGCACTACCAAGCACATGAAAGTATCTACTTTAAGAACGATCTTTACAATGTGCCTTAAGACCCAGCGGTTCTCCAAGGCTTTAGGACCTTGACTGCAGAAGACAATGACCAGAACTCACCATGTCTGTCCTTTTTAGCTCCAGGATGATTTTTCTGTCAATATTTCATGGCGTTACAACATGTCAGTGATGTTGGTTAGAGTGTCTTTAGCTCATCAGTGTGTAGTCACCCTTATTGGTAATTAGTCTTAAATTTTTATACTAAAATTGGCTCAGTCTTTCTGGGCATAGCAGAGCTCTCTCTCAAATATGAACTGAACATTTTAGAATTGTATATTTTGTTTAGACCCTATGAATCATGTATCCATCAAGAATTCTCATTGGGTAGACAATAAATGAACCAATACTTTGGTCACCATAGCTGTCAAAAACATTGGAATAGGACTTAAAATCAGAAAATCTGATTTGGTACTTAAATGAGTTCACTTGGAAGCATTTCTTATCTTGCAACTCATAATGTTTAATTTCTTAAGTTACTGTAGGCTTTCAAATCATGGAGGTTCACAAGTTTTTATTTACCTGGTGGGGAAATAAAGTTAGTGTGGTTACCCATTAGATCTTTTTTTCTTTTTTGGCTCTGAAAATATAAGGTTTTAAGTGCTTTCCCTGGGACCAGGATGGGGTTTTTAGTAGTTAGAAGAAGGTAGGATGTTTAGTGGACCAAGTAAATACCAGGGTAAGAAAATCAATTGCCATGTGATTTAACACATGTATGCTATTTTTGCTACATCTGTGTCATAGTTCCAGGCACTCATATAGACCAGTGTCAGAGAATCCAAACTAATTTTTAGGATGATGCAGGACAGAGATAAATAAAAGGAAAAACAAAAGGGAGAGAACAGGGAAAAGAGCTTTCTGCTTAGAAAAGTAAGTTTGCAAATATAATAGTGTTGTTTGAGAGTGTTGCTAGTTTCAACTGAAATTCTAAATTGTTCCCAACCACTTAAATTAAGACTAGAGCTACCATATGATCCAGCAATCCCACTCCTGTTTATATACATGAAAAACTCAAAATCATGTATTTGCAAAATATATGCACCCCTATGTTAATTGCAGCATTATTCACAGTGGCTAAGACATGGAAACAACCAGAGTGCCCTGCGATAGAGGGCTGGATAAAGAAGATGTAGAATACTACACAAATGGAATACTACTCAGCCATAAGAAAGGATGAAATAGCGCCATTTGCAACAACATGGATGAACCTTGAGAACATGATGCTAAGTGAAACAGACAGAAAAAGCTAAGAACCATATGATTTCACTCATATGTGGGACATAAAATTGAAACTTAGGAATACAAATAGCAGTGTGGTGGTTGCTAGAGGGAAGGGAGTGGGGGGAGAAGGGGATCCTAATATGAGGTGACAGGAGATTTATCTTTTGGTGGTGGGCACATGGTGCAATATACAGATCTTGTAACATAGAAATCCACACATAAAACCTATATGTTCACGTTGACCAATGCCACCCCAATCAATTTAATAAATAAATAAATTTAAGAGAAAAAGTATTATGGAAGGATGAATGTTTCTTTTTTTTTCATATCAAATTCCAATGCTATTCCTTCTTCACAATCGAATTAAAATTTGGGTTTGCCAAGTTAAACAAAGCAAAAAAGGTAAGGATATTTTTAGCCACCAAAAACATTTCTTTTATTTTTTTTCTCTTTGTATCAGAAACATCTATACATGAATAGTTCACAGGGCTGGGTAATAATTTCAGTTTGAGTTAATCCTGAATTAATTCACACATGGGGTTCAGTGCTACTCACACCATAGTGGTCTAGGAGGGCTTGTTTTTAAAGGCAAGATTTTTAACACGTAGCTGCAGAATTCTAGAAAATTAATAGCACCTCTGAATAAAGGTTAAATGGGCAAATAATATTATTAAGCATTATCTACTGGGTTTCCCAAATAGGATGAGACTAATATGGTCTAAAAAATCTTGTTCAAGCTACAGTGCTTTTCTTCTATTTATTATTTATATGTTTATTTTGTTAATCTTCACCTAAGGATTTTTTCCCATTGATTTTTAGAGAGAGGGAGAGACAAAGAGAATTACTGCTGTGAGAGAAACACACTGATTGGTTGCCTCTTGCAGGGTCCAATCCAGGGAGGAGCCTGCAACCAATGTACCTGCCCTTGACTGGAATCAAAACCAGGAAGCTTGGGTTCACAGGCCGACGCTCTATGCACTGAGCCAAACCGGCTAGGGCTACAGTGTTTTTCTTTTAGATTCAAAACAACATGCATAAACAGATTTCATATTAAAGCCCAGATTTTGTTTTTTTCTGGAAAGACCTGGCAACATTGGACCGCATTCCTATGCAATCAGGGCCTCATTAGGTGGCATCCCATTCTCTTAGCCCACCAGCCCTTGACTAAACTGCATATCACGTTTGTTACCTGCTTCATGACTTGTGGGCCTTTGAATTTATGCTGCCTCTCCCAGTCTCCATACTTTTCCTGTAGATGTATGATGGCACATTAAAGGCTCTGGGAGTCTGGCTAACTTTGTTTAATCCAGAATTTCCAAAATTTGTTTGAAACCCATGAGCAAGGATGGCTTCTGGCATGCCTGTGAGGGTGTGGGGATACAGAATTAGAACTAGGACTTGAGTTCTAGCTTAACTCTTACCAGTAACACTGGATTAGTTTAGGGCAAGTTGTTCTTTATGCCTTCATTTTTATATCTATTAGAGATAGTTCCATACCCACATCAGATCCTAGGGGTAACTCTAATGATGACGACATGTTATTTGTGAAAAGGCTGAAAAGTGAAAAATATTACAGATATGCAAAGGGCTTTTATTTTGGCTGAGTTTTTGGTAATAGCAGGTCTAGTATTAATGCTCAGTAAATAATTTCAACAGTGTTACATTCATAAGTCTCTTGTTCTAGAGTACCACTCTTTCTGAATAATATTTTTTGAAAAGTTGATATTGGGTAATTTGTCTATGATTTAATGCTGTAGAAAATAACTGTCAATAACTGAGAGGAAGAATGGGTTAGAAGGAAGGAAGGGGGAGGCATTTAGCTAATATTAATATTTTCTGTAATTTCATCAATATTGTAGAATGTATTGAGTTTCGTTTTTGATCCTTTGAAACAGTTGAGATTTCATTTTCTACAATCTGTCCTGGGACATTAGGACATGGGTGTAATTAAGGCCATATTTTAAATTTGGGAAATTTTGCACATCTTCAAGAAGCAGCAGAACCAATCTTTCACTGATAACTGTGAGGATAATTTTGTGAGTACATGAAAGTGTGAGAGTCTCTTATTTTCATTGTAGGAACACTCACCAATAAATGTGATTTTTGTTTTCATTTTGAAAACTGACTTCTTTTCTCAGGCTCATCAGTTGGGGCCTGGCATCTTCAGCTTGCGGTGGATTCCCAGGACAAGGGCAGGCGGGGCAAGATTTGAGAGCCAAGTGTGCCTGGCAGTCCGGTAAGTGCTGGGAGTGGAGTAGAGCACAACCCTGAACTCCACTTCCCAAGGAGCTCCCATTTAATAGGGACCCCCCACCAAACCATCAATTCTGCTACCAATAAATACTGAGGAGAATGAGAACATGGTGATAGAATGGGCTTTTCAACCGTGGCATTTGGAGCCAGATAACCCTTTGTTGCTGGGGGCTGCCCTGTGCATTGTGGGATATTTAGCAGCATCCCTCACTTCTACTCACCAGGGGACAGTTGTGCCCTTCCAGCTGTGACAACTGCAAATGTCTGCAGACATTTCCAAATGTCTCCTGAGAGACAGCATCACCCCTGGTTGAAAATCAGGGTGACACAGGATGCCCGGGGGTGTGAGGGATGTGAGTGGGGAGTGGTGAAGGTTGGTCAGGGACTTCCTCTGAGAAAGAGGTGACATTTGAGTTGAAACCAAACAAGGCACCCACTTGGAGGAATCTACCCAATGCACGGGCCTTGGGGCAGGAAGAAGCTTGTGCATTAAGAGGGAGAAAGTACGGTGTGTTTCAAGGACTAACAGCCATGTGGCTGCAAAGGGCCCTATGAACACTTCTGTTTGAGAAGAGTCCCACTCTTAGAAAACAAAACACTTTATATATTAAGGCTTAAACCTGCTATGCATCACCAAATTATGCCAAAAAGAAATGAATCATTTATTAACGTGCTTCAGTGACACTGTTCTAAGTTTACATATAAAAAGCCAGTTTGGTTGGTTGGTGTGACAGAAGAGGGTATGTAGGGGAAGGATAGGGGGAGAGAGTTACATCCTGGCAGTGAGGGGCTTTTCACAGGGCTGTGTGAGGGCACCCTGGCCTCGGGAGAGGGGTCCTGGAAGAAGAAGAAGGATGGGGTGTCAGAGTTTGATCTACTGGGCTGGGTAGCTGCTGAACCCACTCTTCCCAAACTTGCAGCTCGGAATAGTGGAGAGATGTTCTCCAGTCGTGATATTTGCCTCAGATACCCACTCTCCACCCCGTAGGTCAACCCACTTGTTGGGAAAGCATGCCTCCTGTATTTTCACTGGGTGTGTTATTCCTCAAGGCTCAGCTCAAATGTCACCTCTCCAGTCCTGCAGGACCTCACTCCCCAAGGCAGAATTTACCTTGCGAACACTTCTGTGGAGCCCTCTTTAGCTACTGGATGAATATGCCAGGCATGGTGCTATTGCCTTGCTTGGGTCATTCTACAGGAGGCCAGGGCCCTACCTAGCATGTGGGGCACATCTGGATGAATTACAGAGACACCCCCCTTTCTTTTTCTGGCTGGCACAGCCTCTGAGACAGGACAAAGGCTTGTCAAATGGAGTCTGTCCAAACTACAAGCATAAATAGTGACTATAGTGACCCTATCACATTAGAGATGTGTGGGTTGAGGACACCTTGTATACTGAGCACTCTGAGGGAAGTGTATGCAGTTTCTCAGCACCCAGCTTACACATAGTAGGTGCTTTCTGTGTTTCTATAAAAATTGGGGAATAAATTCAAAGAATGTTTCCTAGAACCTCCCTGTGTGTGCTGGGAATGAGGCGGGGAGAGGAAAGCTGAGTGTGTTTTTAAAAAATTTTTTATTGTTGAAAGAGCTGAGTGTTTTTAAAACTTGTTTTATGAGATA